TACCAATTGGACTTGATGGCGTGAACCCATCTGGCCCCGAGGCAAGGGCGATGGCGATGCTGTTGTTGCTGGTGTGGAGAACCTTCTTCACTCTGTAGGGGTGGACGCCGTAGGCCTAGAGGCGGGTAGTGATGATGTCACTGTTGGCGTGGCTGAGCCGAATCCGGACACTGCAGCAGAGGCGACCCCTGCGGGAGACCAACCCCTTTGAGCTGGGCGTCTTCATCAGACTTTTTTCTTTCTTTATTTCCTAATGGTTGGTACGCCAACAATTAACCTTATCTTTTAATCTGTGGTTGGTATGTCAGCTGCAGACTAGTAATCCTTTCAAATTACTTAATCAATGTAGTAACGCCTCTGCTTGACACACGCCTTTGTTCGATTTTTCTTTATCAAGTGTTGGTTTCTTCTTGTAATTGTAACTTAGCTGATTAAAACCTTTCCAATACTCATCATTTTACTTCTTCGTTAGGCAGGGTGAGGCTTACCCCACCACTTTGACGTTGGCTGGGGGTGAGAATCTTCCCAGTCGAACGTTTGGCGGGGATGAGAACCATCCCGTTGGTTTGGCGTTGGCTGGGGGTGAGAATCGTCCCAATCTAACTATGGCGGGGGTGAGAACCATCCCATTAGCTTGGCGTTGGCTGGGGGTGACAACCGTCCCAGTCCAACTATGACGGGGGTGAGAACTATCCCGTTAGTTGATCATGCGACTTTAACAAAGAGTTGGTAAATTGGCCATTGTATTTATCGGAAATGTGAAACTCTGCCTCGTTAAAAACCTTTCCCAGTAAAACCCATTGGGACAAAAACATGGGAAAGGAAAAGAGTGCAGGAAGTGCTGCATGGTAGTTTAACAATAATACTTCTTAAGCTTATCTGCATTCCACGCCCTCGGTATGTATTTCCCCCAAGTGTCTCTAGGGAGTAAGTTTCTTTCCCCAGTTTGTTAGCTATCTGGTAAGGTCCTTCCCAGTTTGGGGCGAGCTTTCCTTCTCGGGCGTTCTTGTTGCCTATGTTTGCTCTTCTCAGACTCAAATCTTTTTCTTCAAAATTCCGGGAAATGACTTTCTTGTTGTAATAAGTGGCTGACTTTTCCTTTGAAAAGCAGTCAGATTGAGCGGCAAACCCTCTGAGTTCGTCCAACAGGTCCAATGCTTCATTCAGATTTTGAGTGTTGGCTACCTTGGTAACGTGTTTCCGTCGCCAAGAGGGTTCACCAACTTCAACAGGAATCATGGCTTCAGTGTCGTAAGTCAGTCTGAAAGGCGTCTCCCTAGTGGAAGATTGGGCGGTTGTCCTGTATCCCCACAGGACGTTGTCGAGGTTGTTTATCCACGCCCCCTTGTGTGCTTCCAGTTTCTTCTTAATTCCTTTGGCCAACATTTTGTTGGTCGACTCCACTAAGCCGTTGGATTGGGGGTGTTCAACTGCGGCAAAGTGATGTCGGATCTGCAGATTGCTTAACTCAAGAAATTTGGCGTCGATGAATTGGGTACCATTATCTGTAATGACTTTTGCCGGAATACCGAAGCAGTAGACAATGCTTCTCCAAAAGAACTTCCTTGCTTTCTGAGATGTAATTGTGGCCAAGGGTTCCGCCTCTACCCACTTGGTAAAGTAGTCAATGGCGACAATTAACCATTGGACCCGGCCAGCCGCCATGAGAAAGGGACCCAGAATGTCGATTCCCCACTTGTAGAAATGCCATGGTGAAGTGATTGACGTCAATTCTTCAAGTGGAGCTTTGTGTATGTCGGAAAACCTCTGGCGTCACGCTCCATGGTTGGCCAATAAAATCCAGCTCTTAGTGCTTTCTTTGCTAGCGAGTGACCGCCCATGTGGTGGCCGTTGATTCCTTCATGGATTTCTTCTAAAATGTACTGAACATCTCTGGGGTTCAGACATTTCAGGAGTGGGGTTGAGAGTCCTCGCTTGTACAATCGCCCTTGTACCATGTAGAAATGGGCACTTCTTCGTACAATCTTTCTAGCTTCCTTTTGGTCGAGAGGTAGGACCCCTTCAGCCAAGTAGTTGACAATGGGCGTGATCCAGGTCTCTTCGGCGACCTCAGGGTTTGACTCCGAAATGCTCATGACTATGCATGGGTTAGGCATATTGTGTTGGATCACATAACGATTGTTACCTGGGTTGGTGCTCGCCAACTTGGAGAGAATATTTGCCCTGGTGTTTTCAAAACGCCTGATATGCTCCACCTCGACACTTTCGAAGCTTTGGATTAACTCTTTGACCTTCTCTAAGTACCTGCGCATTAATGGTCTTTTGTTTTGGTATTCACCGGAGATCTGGAATGTTACTAACTGGGAGTCACTGTAGACTTTGAGGCGTTTGGCGCCCATCTCTTTTGCTTGAATTAGGCCAGCAATCATGGCCTCATATTCCGCCTGGTAGTTTGTGGTATTGAATTCAAAAGACAGGGAATGTTCGACAGCAACACTGTCTGGATTCTCAACTATCATTCCTGCACCTGAGCCTTTGGCGTTTGATGAGCCATCAACATATAGTTTCCATATCGCCGATATCGGCGTCCCAGCGGTCTGGGCACTGAGCGAAGAACTTGGTGTCATTTCGACAATGAAATCAGTGAGGGCTTGAGCTTTGATGGCGGTTCTTGGCTCATAATTGATCTGATATTCTGAGAGCTCAATCGCCCAGGACATCATTCGTCCTGCGAGGTCGGGCTTGTGCAAGACTTGGTGGATGGGTTGATTGGTTCTGACAGTGATGGGTGGCACTTGAAGTACGGCCTCAGCCTCGTGTCGCGAAAATGAGTGTAAGGGCAACTTTTTCAACTTGCTGATACCGCAGCTCAGCCCCTTGTAGCACTTTGCTGATGAAGTAAACCGGCTTTGGCCTTCCTCCTTTGGCTCTCTGACCAACGCCGCGCTGATGGCCTCAGTGCCAACCGCGAGGTATAAATACAGAGTTTCGCCACTGTCTGGTTTAGTGAGGACTAGCAGGCAGGACAGGGCCCTTTTGAACTCATGGAAAGCTCCTTCACACTCATCAGACCATGCGAAGGACGTACCCTTTTTGAGCAAACCAAACAGGGGGAGTGATTTGTGTGCAGAATTCGCCAAGAAACGTGTTAGGGCTACCAGTCTTCCAATCAGCTGCTGAACCTCTTTGACTGTTTGCGGGATTTGCATTTCGATGATCGCTTTGCACTTATCAGGGTTGACCTCTATGCCTCTCTCGGTTAGCATGAAGCCTAGAAATTTGCCCACCGGAACACCAAAAGCACACTTACTCAGGTTGAGTCGCATGTTGTACTTTCGCAGCCTATAGAACACGCCCTGAAGATGCGTAAAGTGTTGTTCTGGTGTTTGCGATTTGGCGATCATATCATCAATGTAGACTTCCACGCTGCCGCCAATCAAGTCTTTGAACACTTCATTCATCATTTGCTGGTACGTGGCGCCCGTATTCTTCTGGCCAAAGGGCATCATAGTATAACAGTAATTGGCGTTCTGGGTGATGAACGCCGTCTTGATTTGATCCTCTTCTAGTAATGGAATTTGATTGTAACCAGAGTAGGCATCCATGAATGAGAGTATCTTGAAACCGAATGCATTATCCACCAGCTGATCAATGCTTGGAAATGGATAAGTATCCTTGGGGCATACATTGTTTAGGTCGGTATAATCGACACACATCCTTTACGCCCCACTGGGCTTTTTGACCAATACCGGGTTGGAGAACCAGGTTGTATATTTGACTTTTTTTATGAAGCCAACGTCATGGAGCCTTTCCACTTCCTCGTCGATTACCTTCTGACGATCCGAGCCAAACTTCCTCTTCTTCTGCGCGACGGGCTTTGCTTTGGGATCTATGGACAAACGGTGGCAGCACACTTCAGGATAAATACCTGGCATATCAGATGGTTTCCAGGCGAACAGGTTTCTGTTACTACGTAGTAGCTTGATCAGCTTACTCTTAATTTTTGGATCAATGATCCACCCGATAGTAGTTGTCTGGTGTTCAGCATCTCCCAAAACGACATGCTCTAATTCTCCGTCTGGCGTGGGTCTGGAATGTTCTGCTCGAGGGTCATCTCTAGCGTCGAATTCTACAAGAAAACATTGGTCAAGCTCTTTGTTATTTCTGCTAGTATTTTCTTCCATTACCTGTGATGTCACCACTTGGGGCGTTGGTTTGTCTTTGAAGGTGACCTTAGGTGCTGGTCTCAAAGATATATTGTAGCAACTCCTGGCTACCATTTGGTCGCCTTTTACCGTCGCGACCTTATTGTCCCTCGCCACGAACTTCATCGCCAAGTGCAGATGCGATATGCTTGCTTCAAACGCGGCGAGCATCCTTCTGCCGAGAATTACGTTGTAAGCTGATTGGGTGTCAAGCATCAAGAACTAGATGTCGGCTGACCTTGATGTGGGAGGCTTTCCCAAAGACAAACGCAGGTTTATCATTCCAAGAGGCTTGGTGGTAGTTGCATTGAAACCTGAAAGTTCACCTGCAACTGGGGTTAAGTCATTAACTATAAATCCTAACGCCCTGAAACATGGCAAAAATAAGATATCAGCAGAGATTCCGTGGTCAACAAACACGCGATTGACGTCAAAATTGGCGATTATTGCTTGAATGACAAGAGGGTCATCGTGTCCGGGAAAGACGTCGCCCAAATCGTTGCAATCCCACACGATTTTAGGCTTGGCAGGACCTGAGTCCACTCTTACTTTGCTGATGACTTTACCCGCAACCGCCAAACACTGTTTCAAGTGCCTCTTCTGGGCATTGACCGATTCTCCGCCTCCGCTCAGCCCTCCTGAAATCATGTTTATTACCCCGTGCCTGATGACTGCTAAATCTTCATTATCTCCTTCCCGCCTTTCTCTATTGCTTTGGCTAACCGGCACTCTGCGGTCTCGTGGGGAGTCTTCCCTGCGATCTCGGTCGCGGCGAGGTTGATAACCAGGTTGGTTGTTTCTTCTTCGTTCTGGCGACCTGCTACGCTTGTAGTGTCACCTTCCTGTGCCGGTAGGGCGTGCACCGTCACCTCCGCGCCTTTGAGCACCGCCCTTGATGAGCTCATCAATCTCATCTTTGAGGTGCCTGCATTCCTCGGTACTGTGACTGTTGCTGCGATGGAACTTGCAGTATGCGGCGGCTTCTCTGGTCGACTGCTGGGGCCGTTGGTTACTCTTGGGCTCTTCTTTGTATTCAGTTTGCAGGACGCTGTGTGATTGGCATCCTGATGCGTCACGTCCAGAAGGGCGACTTGCATACTTAGATGATTTATGACCCTTCCTGCTTTCTTCAACTTGGTTCTTACTTTTACTAACTGTTTTCTCTTGGTTAGGGGCGTCATCAACTCGACTCCCTTTATACTCTTCAATTCTCATGAACTTCTGGGCTTTTTTCCTGACCTCTTCTAAGTCATTAATTTCGTGTCGGGTGAGTTCATAAGAGATCACTCCCTGTCGCAAGCCTGAAAGGAGTATATGCACCTGCACCTTTGGGTCTAAGCCCTGCACCTGCAGGGCCTCTTTATCAAAGCGGTCCAAAAAGGATCTGAGGGACTCACCAGATTGTTGGCGAATTTTTTCAAGGGAATGAACGGACTTAGGCACAGGGCGACTGGTTGCGAAGTGGGACTGAAACTTGTTTGCCAAATCGTCCCAGGACGCAATGCTACCAGTGGGTAGAGTGGTGTACCATGTCAGCGCTCTCCCTCCCAGAAGCGTAGGGAAAGTCCTCCACATGAGGAGATCCGTCTCGCCGTGAAGGGTCATGGCTGCTTCAAACTTTTGGATCCACTCAAAAGGATCGGTGTCACCAACATACATGGTGATGTTGGATGGGCCTTTGAAACCAAGGGGTATGGGGGTTAACTGCAAGCTATCAGTCAAGGGATTGTTGCATCCTTACGTATGAGCATGCGTTATCCTTACATTAGGGTTGCGTGCATGCTGGTCCGGTTGTGGGTGGGGTATATGCGGGGCTTCAACTGAATAAGAGAGAGCTGGGGCGTGGTTCAAGGCCTGGTGGGCGCCATATGGTGGCTGACCAGGATTTTGACAAGTCCCTTGGGGTTGTGGGATGGCTACGTTATGAGGTTGCATAGCGTAACCGTGGAAAAGGAAACCAGCAACGTAAGGTTGAGGGAAGGGAGCAGCAACGTTATGAGTGTAAGGTCCTAGGGGGTATGGGGCGACCATAGGGACCCAATGATCATTGTACATTGCTACTGGCTGGCTTCGGGATGGTTGTGGACGATGGGCGAGTGGGATGGCTGGTGGAGCAGCAGTAGGGAATGGCATTCCAAAATGAACTCCCGGCGGTGGGGGTTGGTTTGAAACTAAATTTTCTCCTTGCATTTCACGCATAGGTGCGCGATGATTCGACTGAGCTATTCTGTCGCCAGCTGCTGGCAACTGTGGGCCAACAGATTGTAGTACCGGGGGGAGAGCCTCGCTAGCGGCTCGCTCAGCTGGGGCTGAATGCATGGATGGCGGGGAGTTGGAATGTATTGTTCGCACGTGACTATCAGGGGTAACGACCCTAGCTTGTTCCGCTCTTCTGGTCATGACAACCAGTTTAGTTATCTGGGTGTGAAATGCGTCTTGTGGATCTTTGGTAGGAGAATGGGAATAGAAGTTTATAGTCTCTCCACAGATGGCGCCAATGTACTGTTGGGGTCTATAAGCCCACTGTGTTCCCTTCAGGGATGAGTCACTGTATGGATAATACCCTTAGCACAGGTACAGACCAAGCTAAGAGGTACTTTGCCAAGTATAAGCCAGCAATCAACAATGGATAAGTAAGTGATAATATGACTCAATGTAAATGGGCAGAATAACGATACATAAGATAACTTCATGGTGTGCCCATGCGGCTATTTATAAGGGAGGGTGGTGTGCACCCGGTGTGGGTTGGTGAGAAGGGAGTCAACCCTCCTTGGGATTCACTATCGATGGCAGTGTTGGGCGTGGCAGGCGCTGCTGTTGTAGCAGCGCTGCACCCTCTGTACTTGGTGGTGTCAGCGTGGGGCAAAGGGGGCAGTTTCCCCTTATGGCATCTTGGACGACTGCCTTTGGGGGTTATGGTCCCAAGGTAGGACATTTTGGTGCTTCCTCTTGGGAGAGTCGCCTTGTTGGGAGTTGGGGTATCAACCCAACTGGTAGGGCTGACGTGGATGTTGGGTTGAGGTTGGGCCCTGACCTTTGGGCTACAGAGTTATTGGGCCATTCGGAACAAGTTGTAAGTATAACCTTTCTAAAAAAAATTTGTATATTTTACCCGCCAGAAATTCTTGATAGTTGAAGAAAAATGAATTTTGAATTTTGTGCTTTTGGTTCGTATGGAGGGGGAAATTCGTTGTCTTTATTCCTATCTAAAGATATGTATTATTCTGTAAAACTTTAGCATCAATCCTTTGGAATATCCTATTTTTTATGAGGGAAATTTAAAATGAAAATGTGTGGCTGTAACTCCCCGCAAAATTTGGGAAATTACATAACTTGAAACTAGGGGTGTGTAGCATGCTTGAAATTCGAATTAGACGTGTGTATGGAGTGGAATTTATGTAAGTTAGGAAAATTATTTTGGGTTGACAATATAAGTGAGTGTAGGTGTGGATTTTAAAAGATTCAAGATACTAGTTAAAAAGGGATAATATGGCATTTAATTACCATATAGGTAGGAACTCTAATTATTAATTGTGGGTATATAAAATTACATACATTAATAAATGTATAATTAAATATATATATATATATATATATATATATATATATATATATATTACATGAAATGAGTGACTCATTAGGAAAATGATACTAGACAACTAGCCTTGTCATGCGTTGAGCATAGAAGTAAAGGAAAGGAAAATTTTAGATACTAGTACTAGTGTCCTAAGTAATAAAGTTTGCCACCCCATGCAGCCAATAAGGTGGAGGTAATCCCTTTGCATGTAATCTTATCGGTTAAGTAGTGACACATGTCCACTTGTAGTCATCCTTATCCTTCTTTTCATACGCCCTAAGTCAAGAACAAACAATCAGGTTATTTGTGTGTGTCCTAAACCAAGTCAAGTCCACTCCTTCCACTCCTCTCCATGTGCGCAAGGCTAAGGGAATAAATGGGCTGAATGCCTAGTCTTTTAATTCAGAAGCAAATTTGAACATTCATCACACATCTCTATCAAATTCTCTTGACCGTAAGCCTCTCTAGATGAACACCAAAACTTAATCAGTGTTCCCCTCCTCTCATCCACTCATTTACCCCACTAAGACCGTGAGCTCCATGAGATAAATCAACATGTGAGCCTCTGCCTTTTCCCCATTAGTTGGCCGAATGCAGAACCATGGAGACTGCAACTTGAAACTGCCCTTTTCTTCTCCTTCTGTGTTCAACGGTATGTCTCCTTCAAGGAGATGAAAGTTTTTTTTTTGTTGTTTCCTGTCCTCTCTTCCTTAGACCGATTTGGACTAAGCTTTTCCCTTTGTTGGAACAGGGTTCTGATGTGAGGAAGTCGCACCACTCTTGCATGCAGAATTGAACCAAGCCTACATCCACTTCCTTCTTTCATTGTTCGACCGAAGGACCACATTCAAGGGGATGAGGTATTTATTTATTTTCCTGGTCCAACCCAACTGAACCGGTTCTGATTGAGTGGCCTGTCCACTGCATGCGCATGTTCTGCCTTAATCTAGCTCCTTCCTTTTTCACATGCAGTCTCAAACCGAGTTTTTGGAGCCTAGGAAGGAGGAGGGGTTGTTGCTTGTTCGATTTATGGTCTTGAGTGTGGATGCAAGAAGATGTAAGTTAACTATCAAGATCTTTATTTGTTCCTTGTTGTTCGGCCTGTACATGCTTGCAAGGAGGATGTCATATTGTCATATCTTACTCATTGTTGGTTCGGTCACTGCATGTAGGTTAGGAGGATTCTGTTTTGTCAATTAATTTCCCTTGCTTCTGTCCCTTCGGACAACCGTGGATTTTTATGTATACAAATTCAAAGAACCATTTTAAGCTTGGAAGAGAGCTCATTATCATGTTTTAGGACTGCCCTTTCGGACCAGAATTCTGATTTAGTTTCACATGTTGTAAATCTATGTGGACACCTGTATAAAGGCCCCCCTAGCGCACCCTTAGGCCTTGTAGAGAAGACTATGTAAATAAATAAATTGGATGCACCTAGCATTAGCCTAAACCGAATCTGTATGCATAAGGAACCTAAGGATTTTTGTCAATTGCTAGAAATTGGTGGAATAAATATTAAAGACAGAAAAATAATTAGCATTGGAATCAAGAAATCAGATGTGAACTAAGCTTTGAATGTGTTTATAGATATTATTGACAGCATGTTTGAGCTTTAATTAGTGCACCTTAAGCTTTGTAGATTATATTGTGTAAAGGCTAAATTGTGGCACCCAATTTAGGGGCAGAATCCGAAACTACCTACAAGGAAGACCATGACTATGTCACTGCCATCGATTGTTAAAGGAAGCCCTAAGTCAAAACAATTAAATTAGAAAAAGAACCTTGAAACCCGAATTATAAGTTTGGAAATTTCTCTCTTGATTTTGTTGGGCTGCTCTTTGAATCAGAAAAATGTTAATAGACTTTGCATGTGCTTAGGAGTATGTAGATAGCATGATGAAAAATAAATGGACCACGTATAAGTGACAAAGGCACTGTTTTGCTAGAAAAAGAAAAATGAAATAAAATAAATAATATAGGACTTTAGATGATGGACTTAAAACCGAATCTGTCTGTTCATGGGAACTATGGGATTTTATTAAATTCTATCAATTGGAAGGATAAAATTCAAGGTAGAAAACTATTAACATTAGAAGCATGATAATTGATCAAAATATAAAGATTGGAAGCCTTGTTAATGGACAAGAAACCGAAACCACAAGCATAGAGAATCAAGGCTATGTAAAAGAAAATTGGTAGCACCTAATTAATGGTAAAGACAACCAAATTAAATGCTTAGGGATTTATATTAATGTTAATTGTTAATCTTTGGCAAAACTAAAGTTAAAACAGAAAATTAAATAACAGGTATGCATGGTAAATTGGTTAGCAGTCTTGTATTGAAAGTCCGGAAAGTACATGCATTTTATTGGAATAGTAGATGTGAATTCTGATTGTTGGTACCCAATGTTTAGGTGTGCTAACTTCTAAAAGTGTGGGCTGATTGGTGATGCTTTGATAAAATAAAATGTTAAAGACTCGAGGTAAGTGTTAGGTGGTATTACCTAATGTGACTATTAACTAGTGTATGAAGTTGTGAATTGTTGCTCACATGTGCCTAATGACTATCCTGCTATTTATGATGAAAGTATTCTGCCTATGGAAATGTTATGATGGTAACTCTCTTATGAAAAGAAATGATGGCATGGCAGTATGGTATCAACAGTACATGAAGTACATGTTATGTTAATGATGATATAAGCATGCACTTTACATCATACCGCATTTGTTTTTCTGTTTTGTGTGTGACAACATAGCATGGCATGCACGCACCAGATTCATGTTAGCCTTGAAATTTAGAATAGTTATATACAGGACCATGTGTATGAGCAAGCATCATATAGGCATCCCTCGGTACTAGGGTATGGGACACTTGGCATCCGTCCGCATAGGTCACAGTGGAATTCACCAAATGAGGGTGTTGTGCATTGAATTTCCACTGTGTTTGTACGCGCACGACGGTGCTATGAGCGTAAAGATGGCGTTATATACGCACTATGATATATGATGATGTTTATCAAGAAATGAAGTTAATGTTGATGCGACTGTTTTATAATTTTGTGCCTAGTTTAATACTGTTGCATTATTGGTTTTATTGCCACACTACTGAGATTTTTCTCACCCCTTTGGGGCTGCAATTTTTATAAAATTGCAGGAGGACGAAAGAGTATATGAGGACGTGATTATATGGATATTGCTGTTAAATTCTGATGTGGCTGTTTTAATTGATGGATGACTGTATTATTTTGAGAAATTTGGATTAACTGTTGAACTATGATTTTGCTTTTGTTTTAAGATGTTTATGGTCAGTTAGGACTTTGGAAAAATTCTGGAAACGTTTTGCAAAAACTATTTCTTAAGGTTTTGAATGCAGTTTTATAAACCATTTCGCGAGCACTTTGCAAGTTATATTTAGTGAGGCTACAGACCTCCGAATGAGGTATAATTCATATATACGTAAAGTCCCAGTTGTGTACTTTCAGATTATATAAAGATTATGTTCAACGCTTGTAATTCCGAATTATTATGATTTTTACAAGTCAGGAGGTTTTGGAAAATAATACAATGAATTTTCGAGTACTTTACGAGTTCTGTTTCGTGGGGCTATTCACCTCCGATTCGCGTATAATTTATATGTACGCGAAGCCCCAGATGTCTAGTTTCTATATTACAAAGAATATTTTTGTGGATCGTTGAACTTGATTTTATACGAATTTTTCAAGACAGAAACGTCTGCCAGGAAAATAATATTTTCAGCAAGTCAAGAAATTTTGAAAGTACACTCTGATTTTTGTAAGTAACCCGATTTCAATTATAAGTTTTAATTAGCAATATCAAAATGATTTTTCAATTGTCAAATTGACCTCGAAAACTCTAATTCTGCTTAGCAAACAAACTCTCTTGGATGCATACAAGGGAGGGTGTTATACTAATTGGTATTCATGCCAAATCTTGCAACTTGGGGGTTCATGAATGAATCGAATCAACACCCGAAAGAGAGGGATTCCAGAGAATGTGCTGGTATGGGACGATACAGTTAGGAATGACTTATAAGAATTAATTGGTACTACCTATACTAACAAGATGCATATACTTTTCGGTAGCCTAGATCGGAACAACTCCACAGTTAAGCGTGCTTTGACTTGGAGTAATTCTGGGATGGGTGACCTCCTGGGAAGTTTTCCCGAGAAGTGTGCGAGTGAGGACAAAACACACTGAAAAGTCTCGTGTTAGTGTGTGGGGACAATCATTGATTCTTGCAAGTGGTCGGGCGTTACAAGTGGTATCAGAGCAGGGCCTCTCTTCCAGTACGGTGTGGTTCGAGGACGAACCAGAAGGAAGCTGGTGGGCATGTAACATCCCAAGAGCTGGCAAGGGCAGGGAGTGATCACCGGTGCGAAAGGGCACGAACAATGAGTGGCTCATGCCAAATCTTACAGCTTGGGGGTTCATGAATGAATCGAATCAACACCCGAAAGAGAGGGATTCCAGAGACTGTGCTGGTATGGGACGGTACAGTTAGGAATGACTTATAAGAATTAACTGGTACTACCTATACTAACAAGATGCATCTACTTTTCGGTAGCCCAGATCGGAAGAACTCCACAGTTAAGCATGCTTAATTGGGAGCAATTCTGGGATGGGTGACCTCCTGGGAAGTTTTCTCGGGAAGTGTGCGAGTGAGGACAAAGCACACTGAAAAGTCTCGTGTTAGTGTGTGGGGACACTCATTGATTCTTGCAAGTGGCCGGGCGTTACAGTGGCGATCTACAAATTTCTTGGAGTGAGTCGCTCTGCTTTATTTCAATTATGATATCCAGTCTCATTCTATATTTTTATGCGAAAAATAGGGTTTTTAAAAAAAAAAAAAATGGATTTAAGTAAAAATATAAAAACTTATGTTTCTATCAATTTTACGCGATATTTTTATCCATTTTTAATAAAAAGCGTTTTCATTTGTGTTTTTACACTGCGCTTCTGCTGTGTCTATGTTTTTACATTTTTACACTAGGCTTTGACAAACAGTGTCCTACACACACATAAAATTATGTGGGACTTGTGTGGGCCTATTTGAGAAGAAGAGAGAAAACAAATATGGGCCCTATACATTTTTATGTGTGTAGAAAATAAATTTTATCTCTTATAATATGATAAACATTAATCCCATAAAAAGGGACAGTTATACTTACCATTTTTTTAGTCTTGCTATCCTTATTACCTGTTTCATTATCGTTGAATCAACTTGAAATCAACGGTTGAAAAAGGAAAAAAAGTAATTGTCGTTGATTTCAAATTAATCCAACGGTAACCAAACAAGTAGAAAAAATAATAAAACTAAAATGATAATAAGTATAACATTCACAAAAAAAAAATTGGACTTCCTATTATTTATAGCTGTGTTATAAACAAAAATTATGGTGCTTTTTTTCTATGATTAGTTTACTTTGGTAGATTATTTTATTAAGTCGATATGAAAAATGTCAGTTTGTAATGATGAAAAGATTATAGACTCGTGTTTTTAGGAATAGTTCATGAAATTAGATGGGAAAAAGAATTCGTTGTTTTGATAACGGGCCATTTGATTCTGTTTCAGGCCTGTACATAATAGTGACTTTTTCTTTGACATGACGATAGAAAAGAAAAAGAAGAGAGAAAAGTTCACCGGAAACATAAATGTTTCCCTTGGTTCAAATGGCAACACTGGTGCATCTTTTCGTTAGTGGAAGAGGGGAGGGTTTAATGTGCTCTCGGCACAACACTCATATGGTGGTCTAGGAGAAGAGAGATATAAAGAGAGTACGAGGAAAGAGGAGAAACGAGGGATCATAGAAATTTTTTCCGTGGAAGAGATTCCATTCCATAGACTCGCCATAAAAGTAAACCAAAAATTGAGTATTTAATTTTTTTTTTACACTAAAATTCTCTATTGACTATTTTAATTAAAAAGAATCAAATGGAATAAAGAGCAAACTAGTTAACTGAAGTTTCTAGCATGCTCCTTTTACTTTACCTGATATTGTAAGTTTTGAACATTTATAAATGGGTTTATTATTTCTCATCATGTAGGAGAAAATGTTATCTCCTACATACGCATAAAAGGGTGTGAGAACCACGTTATCCTTTTCACTTTCTTCACTTCACATGAATTCACATGGGTCTCATACAATTTTATGTGTGTTTGGAAATAATTTTATCTCCTACAATATGAGAAATATTAAACCCTTTATGTGACACCCTCCCCTGTATGCATCCAAGGGAAATGCCTGCTAAGCGGATTAGAGTCGTAACGTCATCGAATTAAATACTGAAACTGCATTGTTAAGTCACAAAGTAAAACCTTGTGTTGAAATCTGGTTGTTCATGAAAACAGTGAAAAATTTGGTGAAACACATTGCTTGCTGAAATTGTTATTTTTCCAGAAAACCTTCCTGTCTTGCAAAAATCATATAAAATAGAATTCTCAGACTTTGGACACAAAGTTTATATAATCAGAAACTACACATCTGGGGCTTTACGTGCGTATAAATTATATGTCAATCGGAGGTCTGTAGCCCCAGAAACAAAACTCGCAAAGTGCTCGCTAAATCAGTTTCAAAATTCAGAGTTTAAAACGGGCAGAAATCGTTTTGACCAAATAAACGCCGGAATTACATAAGTCTTAAGCAATTACAACAATCAGACTACAACATATTCCAAAACAGATTACGAAATGTGACTTGTCCAACTTCAAATTACTACATAACATTAAACGTTCAGTGCACAGCCAATAAACAGCGAACAGACAGCAGGTTTTCAAAACAGCAAAATAAACAGCACATATCCAAATAATAGTCCCTCGAATGCTTCTTTGTCCTCCTGCAATTTTATAAAAATTGAGCCCCAAGAGGGGTGAGAAAAATCCAGTAGTGTGATAGCAAAACCAATAATGCAACAATATTAGACTAGATACAGAATTCCAAAACAGTCGCATCAACAAATAAATTTAGAACAGATGCTAAATTTAATTAGAATGCGTATGTAACGCCAGAATTATGTACTTTCATAGCACTACAGTGCACGTACTACTAACTAACACAGTGGAGATTCCATTTGGCCCATCAGAGGGGAATTCCAACTGCGACCTATGCGAACTGAGCCACGGTTCCTTCTCCCTGGTACCTGAGGGATGCCTACATGATGCATGCTCAACCAAATGCTTCTTTTCAATATTTTCAATTTTCCAGACAACATGTAAAAGAATGCATGTTATGCCATGATTTACTCCGCACGCACATAAGAAAACAAATGGATTCATGATGTATATGAACATGACAAAATCAGAATCAGAGTACCATGGTTCTCATGGATTTTCAACACCAATATTTCGAAGAACAAAAATTTCCAAAACAGAATTTCAATGAATCTAAGTCAAAAGGGCAGATTACAATTAATATCTAACAGAGTACACATACGTAGGCACAAGTGAGCAACAATTCAGAATTTCATGCTAGCTAATAATCACAAAAGGCTTAGCCACCTAACACTTACCTGCGTGCCCAAATATTAATCAAACAACACCAAAATCAGCCCACACTCTAGGAATTATGCGCACCTAAGAAAAAATATAGCAAGTCAGAATTATACGTCACATTTTTCCTATACGTTACATAACATTTTCATTCCTCTTGACCCTTGGTTCACAATCGGTTTTCATGTGTGACACCCTCCCTTGTACGCGTCCAAGGGAGTTGTCTGCTAAGCGGATTAAATTCGTAACGGAATAGAATTGAATAATTAAACTGCACTTTTAAATCGAGATACATTATCTTTATTTGAAATCTGGTTGTACAAAAAATCAGAGTGGAACTTGTTAAAATACATAGCTTGCGAAAATGACAGTTTTCCAGAAAACCTTATTGTCTTGTAAAAATCATATCAATTCAAATATAACAAGTTAAAAAAATCTTCTTTGACACAAGAAAACTAGACATTCGGGGCTTTACGTGCATATAAAAATTATCCCATTCGGAGGTGTATAGCTCCCGAAACAGAACTCGTAAGGCACGAGATAAGTCAGTGCAAATGTTCCAAAACTACCTAACTTGAAAAAATCATATAAATTTGTGCTTACATGCAGTGGACATAAACTTTATATAATATGAAACTAGACATCTGGGGCTTCGCGTGCATATATATTATATGTAAATCGGAGGTTTGTAGCCCCAGATACAGAACTCGTAAGATGCTCGCTAAATCAGTTTAAAGAAATTCCGAGTTTAGAAATAGACATAATTGTTTTTGCAAACGGGTTCAAAATTACGCAATTTACAGCAGTACATAAAATCCCAAAATACAGCAAGATCCGATATGTCCCGACATTT